AAATTTTGAAGCACTTTTTTGAGCAGTAGCAACAAAAAAACCTGATTTTGAGGAAAAAAGCCTTAAAATTTTAGGATTTTCCCTGTGAGTTAGCAAAGTTTTGTTTATTTTCAGCTGGTAAATCTCAATATTCAAATATAATTTGAGGTTTCCTCTTTATAAGGACATCAAAAATTCCTCATTAAAATGACATCAAATTAGGATTCAGACCAAATATTTATGTATTATTGTAACCAACAAGACAAATTAAGTCACTTATATGGATTTAATTACGATATCAGAATGATCCAGGTATGAAAATGTAGCTTTTAAAACCAAGAATCTGAAAATGTCATTAGGTCATTTTGACCAAATTTGACTTAATCCTCATTTTGATATGATGGCTCACATATTCCTTCTACTGGATTTGGACGYATTTCTTCAATGTCACAGAAAATATCCTCATTTTCAAAGCATCATGGGAAGAACTTGAACACTTTCTGCATTGTTATGGGTGGGTTTTTGATCAGCACATGTGTCAATCCTCAAAAAAAACAACAACAACAACAACAACAACAACCTGTAAATCCTTTAGTAACACAAGACCTGTTTGAACAGCATCTCTGATGAATAGAATATACTGTAGGCCCATAATGATAGAAAAACAAGATGACTTCTTTAGTCATTAGCTTGTTGAAGCTGTGAAACTGCCAGTGCATGAAGACAGAAATCATTTTAACATTTCACATGAAATCCAACCATTTTAAAGTTGTATTTGTACAGTTACTCCCAGTGGAAGTATTATGTCAGGATAAATAATCTATTTTAGTAATAAAACATGCAGTCATTTGTTTTTTTGTGCATTCTTCAGGAAAATAGCCCTCGTGTTACTTTTAATACTTTGCTTATAAAGGCTTGAAATTGAGTCATTTTTATGTTGCAGAACTGCTTTCTTGTGTTTATTTTCTTTGAGATGCTTTTTTATATACATCTCATATTTGTGGGTAATAATCAGGCAGAGTTGTCTCTTTCTGTACAAGTGCAAGTCTTTTAATATGGAGTTTGCATCATAATGTGTTTCAGGACATCAGTTTAGTTTTCCTCTCACTGCAAAGAGCTCGAAACTCACAAATCATCAAGTCAGTCAAACATCTTCAGTTTGCAGCTTTGGCTGCAGAGGCTGCAGGTCTGAACTTCTGAAGCTGAATGTTTCACAAAACTATTTTTATTGATTGTATGAGGTGCTGTTTGTAAAGTTACACAGTCAAAAAATTACCACCAATATTTTTGTTTTATTTAACCTTTTATAAGAAAAAAGAACAGATTTATTTTTCAAAGTCAGTTTTTCACCATATGATTCATACATTTATAAATGT